AGTCCACAACGGTCCTGTTCTTGGAGAATAGTCTTTATCCATTTAGGGAAAAAAAATGTGAACCATCACCCAAAATTACCCCAAGCTTTTGCATGGTTTTTATCCTTGGTTTAATTTGTATCCAGAGTCGAGCAATTGTGTCATTTATATTTGTCATGACATTGTTAGATATTTTCACAGGACAAACTGAGATTCTCTGCATAGGCTAGCCTAGACATGGGATGGGACACACGAAGTAATAAACCAATTCTGCATACATAATTTGTGTATAACCAGTATATGACTCTTAATCTGCTGAGTCAACTTACCAGAAAGAATAGTTAACATGTTTTACAGTCGATAGGTTTGAGAAATAGTGTAATAGAGCAAGATATCAGAAACCAATCCTAAATAGTTTCCCATTCTCTCTTCACTTCTACAATCATACAATTTTCTTATAGCAATTTCTAAGGGAATTCTTCGAGTTTTTGCTATTCGCTGATTTTAGACTTTGTTATATCTTGGAAGTGATTTGCCAAGAACCCATTAGCAACCTCAATTGAGTGGGGGTAAATAACACTTTAAGGAAACGATTCAAATCGTACCTCAAAGTCTTTTTTCATATTTCAATTTTTACTCAAACAATCTTAAAAGTGTTATTCGTCATGGAGATCAAATCTGATAGCATGGCTATGAAGGTTATCAATCAAGATGTCTATAAGTTCGACAAATTTGATGGAACAAATTATATCGAGAAATTGCTTCTTAAATTTAAGCATTTGCAAATTAAAGAAGCAACAACTCCTTATGAGGCTAATGAAACTATGCTTAATAATTATGGCGGGTACATTGCACAGCTTGAGTATGCTAGTGCAATAGGAAGTTTAATGTATGCTATGTATTGTACAATGTCAAATATTGCTTTTGCAGTGTGCAAACTTTATAGATACACTAGTAATCCAGGTACTGCTCAATGGAAAGCAATTAGTAGAGTATTTGGTTATCTTAAAAGAACCATTAATTTGAGTTTATCTTACTTGGCTTCAAAGAAACAAATATGTATAGCACATTAACCTATGGGATCTGAATTTATAGCATTGGCAGCAACAGGTAAAGAAGCGAAATGGCTTAGAAATCTGTTATTAGAAATAGAGTTGTGGCCACAACCGATGTCATCCATTTCTTTATACTGTGATAGCGAGGCTATTTTGTTTAGAGTTTATAGTAAGGTGTACAATGGAAAATCTAGACATATTAGCTTGAGACATGAATATGTCAAACAATTGATAACAGACGGAGTTATTAATATTATTTATGTTAAGTCAAGTAATAACTTGGCGGATCCGTTTACAAAAGCACTCTCGAGAAATTTGGTAGTTAGTACATCTAATGGAATGGGGCCAGAGGCGGCCCATGGGGTGTGTGAGGTGTGTGACCGCACAGGGCCCCCAAAATTTAGGGGCCTCCAAATTTTTCCAAGTCAACCCATTAAATTAACTAAAACATGAAAATAAAAATGATATTAAATATTACCCCACAACACCACATGCAAGGCACCAAAACCAAAATTGAATTGAATATTAATTATCAACAAATTCTACAACTTAGAGAGTAGATGCCCTAATTTAATTCATTTTCCTCTTCCCAACTCTCACACTGCAACTCTTCATTTTATTTATTATGGTTTGAAACCTGTGTTTTCCTCTTCTCAACTCTCAAGCTGCAAAATCATTCTAATATTCTTTTCTCTTTCAATAAGTTTTTCTCACTCTCCTCCATCAAAATGAAGCCATTTCTCTTCAGTACCAGTGTACCACCCTCTTCCATCAAATTTTGGATTGTAAAAACCCAAGCTTTAGCCCTTTCCCCAAAATCACAGTTCTTTTCTCCCTCCCTTATTCACATGAGAATTCACCAAGTATTGAAATTGGAAAATCAATTTATTGGCTCTGTGATTTGGAAGGGTGACTAAAGAAATTTTTCTGGGAAACTATTTCTGAATGTGTTCTTCTCATGTCATAAATTTTTGTTTCTATATGGATTTTTTTTTTTCCTACTTGTATATATAGGGCCTAGACATCCATATTTGCACAGGGCCTCCAAAATCAATGGACCGGCTTTGAATGGGGCTAAAACCCTTTACTGGAAATCACCGATAATGGTAACCCAACTTTGTCTAAAACATCATTAGTTTAAAGTTTAGTGGGTAATAACAAGTTATTGTTAAGTGATTGTAAAAGCTCTAAAATTCAATATATATTATGTCTACAGTAGCATGGACATGGGAAGGAACCTCACCTATGTGAACATAAGAAGTGGTGCCACTTCTACCAAGAGTTGGGTTTTCTCTTGTAAAGCCTCATGAAACCAGGATGAAGCACAAGGCCATAATAGTGCTTAATTGGTACAAAAATTTCTTTAAGGAAATATGATATAATCATGTGTGTTGGTAATTCCGGTTTTACATAAGAAGAGGTTTAAACTAAGGCCACCATAGGCTTCGTTAAAACTTTGATTTACTTGCACTAATTGAAGGTTTAATTCGAAACACACCTTCTTGTATGCATGATAATATTGGTGTGATTGTGTTACAATTCGGTGGGGAATTTTTACTTATATTTGAGAGAAGTGTGTATATATATATATATATATATATATATATATATATACATATTATTGAAATTGAGAAGGATTGTTAAGATTTCAATAATATATAGAGAGAGTTATTCATATTCAATTTCTACGGCAAAGAGTTTTGGTTAATCAATGTCTTTTTTTTTTCTTTTTTTTTTGGTTTAATCAATATATATTTTGCTAAATGGTACATACCAACTAATATGTCTTTTGGTTGAAATGGTACATACCAACAAACATGATATTTGGTAGTGTCCTTTGAGAAAGTGGCGTTGCACCTTGCAGA